ACCGGTTGTACGTCAACACCTGAGCGCAGCAGCTCCTAGTTCCGGACCAGATTTTCAAAACACCCTGTACACATAGACCATTTCCTATGCATATTTGCTGATGATATTAATAGGTTTGACACCGTATTCCTCACCACACTTGGACTACAAACATCGTGAAATGCCCCATCAGGTTAGACGCAACCATGGATTTAGGGTTTGTTAACAAGCTAAAGATATCTTCAGTCAGTACTCGGGCACCACTTGGAACCTCTGATCATTCCATAGTCAAGTTATCTCTTGCCATCTACAGTAAGACGAACCACAAGGAAGTCACTCACGGCAAAGAACGTTAAATTATACAGAGACAAACGTATCCCCCAAACATGGCACCAAAAGAAATGGTTGCCTGCACAGATTTTACTTTGTTTTTCTATGTCGATGTCGCAACACATTGTGTCCGGATGACAAGTTATCTGAACTTCTGTTTTGATCTCTGCTCTCGGATGGAAACTATTCTCCTCCGTGCTGACCGCTTCTCCTCACCATCCCTCCAGCAGCTGTGTCGACTTAAGGAGAAAGTCTACAAAGTTAAAGATCGTGCCTAAGTAAAGTTGCTTTCTCCACGCATCAGAGAAAAAATTCACCACCTCAATCATGACTACATCCAGACGATTCTAGGGAACAATGATTGTCGTGAGATTTATCAGCTGATGTAACAATTTAGGGGAGTCGCTCGTCATATTAGGAACTCTGACATGGATGTAGATGAAGTAAATCTCAACTTATGCTGCTCCAGCAGTGACTTACTCCCCAACTCGTCATCTGCGCAGTTTCATTGGCCTACGGACTCATCACCAGTTGTTGATGTTGCAGCACTTCACAGGAACCTTACCCAGCTAAACTCAAGCAAATCAAGAAGACCTAACCGGTTATCTTCTTTCGTCCTTATGTAGTATGTAGATTTATTAGCCCACTGGCTATCTGAATGGTACACCATATGCCTAAAACAAGGCAAGACCACAGACTGTTGGAGAGCTGCTAGCATAACACCGATACCGAAGAAAGCGACAGGTAAATGTCGACCTATTGCGTGCACTTCGGTGGCTTTAAAGGTCTGCGAAAAATTCATTCTTGAAACATTTCTAACCCAGTCCTGTCTGAATGACGTGGATCAATTTGCCTACCGAAGTTCGAGGTCGACACAAGACGCAGCGGCTTGTTTAGTGCACTCAGTGTTATCGTCCCCAGACAGTACGAACAAAGTTACACGTGCATGCTTCTTGACTACACCAACCTCTTTGGTTGTGTTAACCGGGAAATCTTGTTGCAAGTTCTCCTGGCGCCTGGTATCCAACCATCCATAGCCTTGCCACAGGATTATTTTGCCAAACCTACTCAGATAGCCAGGTTTAACGGCACCAGCTCCTTGCTTTTTACCACTACTTCCGGCGTCCTTCAAGGAGACATTTTGTTGCCATTCTTCTTTGCTGTTTACCTTGGTTCTATCCCTGTCACTGAAGAAGCCGTAATGCTAACATACGCCGATGCTATACTAATCGGCGCGACTCATCTAACTTCAGCCTCTTAGACCATGATGCAAAGTTGTTTGGATAGAATCGTTCATTTGTCAAACGCCCGTGGTTTAACGCAGAATGCTTCAAACTGCAATGACGTACTGTTTTCGCTGCACAATGCAGATCGTTACTAAAAATGCGTTGCTGACTGTCCCCAACTTCACGTCAGTGGTGAAACCCTGAGCTTCTCGACGTCAGTGAAGTATCTGGGAATTACACTGAGGAATGTTTCATCGTGGTCAATTCACTTGACTGAAGTACTCACCAAAGTCAGACGACTGTAATTTTATATCTCACGTCTTCGTTCGTCCTCGGTCTCCCACCGGTTGATGCTGCGATTCATTATTGCATGTGTTCTACCACACTGGACTTAGTGTTCTCCTGTGATATTTACCGGCCTATTGGGTCGGCATTTCAGACATTCATAGGTTGCGGAAACACACAGCTTTATGCAGTCGCATGTCTAAACCAAACTTAAGTCAACACATTGTATCTGTAGGTTTATTCATGCGCAAAGCTTGCTTTGAAAATACTCACTGATATCAACCATCCTTTACATAGTGTTTTATCCAAATGCAAACCTAGTTCCTCAAAGCAACGAAACTGCAGAGCCGTATATGCCCGCACGCGGGCCTACGGCTTATCTGTCATACCTTGTCTGGTTAGATTTCTGCTTGATCCAGATATTACAATGCAAGAACTAAATAGCAATTTATGTTAGCGATCCTGTGCCACGCATGAAACATTACTTCAACCGCTGTTTTTCACTGTTTTTGTAAGTGTTATATTGTTTTTCTTTGCCTTTTCGATCCTGCGTGTGTTATAGCTGAAAAATTCACCCTTGATGTGTGCATAAAAGCAAATTCTTGACTTGATTTGACTAAAAATTCACCTGGTCTATAGCTCTAGGCCCTTACACCAATCTTCGTACGGTAAAGCATGTAGGCTGCGGATGAGTCTGGTAGCGACACGTCGTCCTGGATGACTACACAGAAGGCGGACTGTCATCACGAACATACTGCGTCGATAATGATGTTGGACCCCAGAAGAGCGACAGTTCCCCCTGAGCTGAGAGTATTCTTAAGGAGTTAGAAATTGTACCAACGGTTACAGCTGGAAAACAAGGATAGACAAGAGTCGAGGAATTTCAACGAGCTTCATCGCACTTAGGCTCGGTCATACAGTCAGCACTATTCGGAAAGGAGTTAGTCGACTACCTTATCCAGTGCGTTTCCTTCGAAGACTCCAATATCTGAGTTAATGACCATGCAACTTGTGACCAACAATTCATGTCATTGGGCCAGGAGCTCTTGTAGCAGTTAACAGTTGGCAAGAAAATACTAGTCATGTTTCCGTGGACCAACTTTGTTCGTTGCATGTATTACGGTGTATCATGGTAAAGGATGACACAAGCTGTAGCATGGCCAGCAACTCACTTAAATAGGACACTTCCAGGGTCTACGATAAAGTGAAATAATTTACCGCATATATACCAAGCGGCCACGGGATTGAATTCCGGAAGATTTAAAGAAATTGCGTGGTATTGACGCATTATGACACGAAGAAGCGGCCACCCAGCATCGTTCCCCATGTTGGTAGCTGTTAGGCTGCATCTCCCCGCGACACAACTTTTTGAACCAATCTTCTTTCGACACCAATGAGGGGAACAAGGCTTTGATTATTGATGAAAAATGCACTTCGAGGGCTTTTTGTGTGACTTTTCCATTCTGTTGTCATTTGTAGGTTGCTTTAAGCGACTGCAAGATGCCCCACCCACTGGTTTCAGCTTCCGCCACTTCAAACTATTAGACAATCAAAGATTGTTGGCGAAATAACAGAGCAAGGTTAATCCATCTCTTTGGAAAAGTAAACCAGTGACTGGATAGGGTTTGTTTCTTTTTCTGCAATGGGGTCAAGTATTAGGTATTTGGTAAAGCATTTCTGAGCATATGCAATCATTGAAGAAGTTGTCGGGAGCAGACTGGACACGAAAACTTAAGCGATTCAGATTCCAAGCAATAATTGACTTCAAATCAAGTGGCTGAAATACCCAGTCATTAATCACATAAAACCGTAGTTTCTTTTTTGTTATTCGTAAAGTTTGGCCCCTATAGCAGAGGCAAGCTCACAAGATGAGAAGATATAGCGTTTTATCTTACAGTGGGTCGATTATCTTATATCACTAATCTTTCGCAGTGGCACTTTTGCAGTTATCTGGAGCGTGCTGGCTATCGAAGATCCCAGTTGATGTCGCTTCGAAAGCTTACAAAGATTTCAATGCAGCCCTAAATTATCAAACGAACCTCGATTAATACTTTCGGGCGATCCTTAGGATAATAAATCACCTCTCTGTAAACACGACAACAGTGAATCACTCGCCAACTGACTGTTGTTCTTGAGGAGTAATGTTGATATCTTTAGAGCTGAATGTGATATTTAGTGGTCTACCTTCTATATTAGCTTGTAGTAAACCTAGACTGCTGGAGGCAAATGTACTTTAACACCGCTCTGTTTCTGTGTAGCACCAAATATCGTGCAACAAAGTTCAAGAATACCACTGGTCTACTAAATAATAGCATGTTATGCTGGTCTCTCTGTTAGAGCAATTGCACAAACCTTCGGTGTACTCACCAGCTTGTATTGATTGTTCCACAAATCTTCCATTCACGCGATGGTGTCTTCGGCACCGATTCGCGAAGGATTTCTTCGCCTGGCTGTACTCTTATGCTCAACGCACGCTCACACAAGTAACGTCGCACCACACGCATTGGTGCAAACCGCTGCTTGCTTAAGAGCGAAATTTGTTAATAATCTTAGCCTATCACAGAACCCTATGCTAGGTAACCCGGGAATTGATTCTATGATGAACTCAACAAACAGTTAGTCTTCACTTCTTAGTTTTATCAAACCAGCCATGTGACAGCTCCTGGTGCATGAAGTAAAACGTACACCTCAGTTCAGAAAGAACGGGACTAATATTGTGCACCATTCTTCATTTTCAGTCGCCAAAAATCGCTTTTATTCGAACGTTTTCTGTTTTCCTCAGTGACTATGAGCTTTCCATGAGCGTAACTTAGGGCACATCGCTCGGCAATTAATCAATGGTCACACCGGCCATCACTTGTGAATCTCATCTTTCTACCCGAAATGCCTTTTGATTCTTCACTCAAAACTTTTCTGACCTAAACCAAAGCATATCTAAGCAAATTTCTACAAGTTTTCCAGAAACCCACGAATATAGATTTTCGTTATAATGGCTGCAAAGACTATTTAACTTGCGCGTGGATCACCGAAACATTCAACTACTAGAAAGTTTCTAGCTTATAGCGGCATTTCGGGGTACTTTCTAAGCAAGCATTACCACGGTGATTCATATCGACCGAAACTGTATTAGGATATCAACAACATTTCTTAATTTGCCTCTTATCCACTTAAATTACCCAGGTTTCCGTGGAGGTTCGCGTGGTATTTCTGAAGATTGGGGAAATCGACACCCTCAAGGAGTATTATTATGCTGATGCTTTCATTCAAGCAAAATGGAGGGAGCCCAAATTAGACGGGAGGACTGTTGACGTGAGTGAACTCCCAAAAGATGCTTTTCTTCCGCTCGTCAACTATAGTACTATACACTCATGGTTTACTGTGTTGCATTCCGAATGGCTTTTCGGTTACGACGGCACAGGTTTTAATGGACAGAAACGTGCCAATGGTTGATGTTTCATTTGACAAATAGAAGTACCAACTGCATGCAGCCTGTCTTGGTGCTCAGAGAGAAACTTAACAACGGCTAACGGACAGATATACTAATAAAAATAAAAATAAAATAATAATAATAATAATAAGGTATATTTCTCGTGGGACCGAGAAACCGAGCCCACAAAAGGATGGATCATATTTACATTGCAACATGCTCAGGTATGTGAGGCTGTCAATTGTTTGGGATTTTACAAGGTTATAGTAGGTCTGTTTTGCGAATATTTTCATTGGGGACGTTGGTCGCCGTATGCTACCGCTTCGCGGGCATCCTCATTTAGTCGTTTTCGGCTCAGCATGGTGGTGCCATGATGGTGGCGATTTGGTGGGGGGAGGGAGTATGAAAAGGATGAAACAGTTAGATTCACCAGTGGAAATCAGATGAGTAAAGCACAACCTTACTAAATAGAGTGGCATAATACAGTTAAAGCTATTTATGCGTAGCAAGTTACGGAGCTGCGAAAACAAGGAAAAGACTGCATTAAGTTAGCTCCAATGGATCATCCTCACACTCAAATTGCTTTATCAGAATGATATAGTCAGTAATCACATCGTAGGGTGTTAATACATAGTGTAGTGTCTAGACAGTTTTTGGTCTGAAAGGATTGTCCTGTCTCCGAGCTGGTCTACTTATGGAGTTGAACTAATCAAGTTGTGTTTTGAGCTGCACTAAACAATAAAACTAAACGAACTATCATATTAGCCTAAAAGTTCTTCCGAACATGAAATAGTTTGCTTGGAGATGCGCATAAATTCGCTAGACGAAAAATGAACGCCAATACTTTTTATTCAACTTTTTCAAATCGTGTCCACTGAAACAACACTAATGGCTTGCACTGGTCTTCGTCAAACGATGCCACATGCTGCAGATGTGATCACACAGTGGGGCACAGAGAGCAGTGTAATGCGGTGACCGCCTTTGTCTACCCAACATCAACACCAGCACAAAGGGTAACTAAGATTGAAGCATTCTATCCTAATCAGTTGATGCGTTGTCTACGCAAGATAGCCTGTTGGAGTGGAGACATTCATAGTACTTCATCCATCCGGCATTAAATGAGCTCCAAGTAAGTCATAAAAGTACATCCTAAAGAACTTTGGCATACATCATTCGAATCTGAGACTGGAACTCCTACATCCGCAGGCTGAGGTGTCCCATAGTTTATGGAGTGCCTTGGAACACTCTAACTGAGGAACTGTTCCATTGTACCTTAGTTCCCACTTCTCCAACCAAGCAAAGCATCTTGTCTTTATAATAGAGTGGCAATCAGTAGTAATAGTCTACAATGCTACACTACCTGCCAGCATAAGGAGTTTAAAGTAGGATGTTTTATTCTCCTCATCACATACATGAGGTAGCCTTTACTTTCTTCACCAATCGACACGTTTATCCTGTAGTCACCACTATGATTTTTCACAAGATAAGTGAGCAAACTGGAAATGATGGGTTCCACAACTGAAAGGCAAAGCGGGTACGGATAGTGTGGACAGGTCTATCAAACACTTATTAGTAAAGTTGTAAAATGCCGAATGGCAAACACTCTTTATTTTAATCAGTCTCCCTACATAGGCATCTTTCATTATAAGGAAAGCAAGCGTTCGCAGCGTCCAAGATGGACAAAGTTGTTTACCATCTGTTCTCACTTTGGAAGGCTGGTGACGTAATAGATTAATGGTATAATACGGATAAAACTGACATGGCTTGACATCTTCCGTGAGAGGCTTTGTGGGAATAACGTTAGTCCAAATAAGTTGCACAAAAGTGAAAAGAAGCATCTGTAAACTCACCATATTATCCACGTGAACACACAGGTATTTCCGTCTAACCCGATTTCGTGGGGTCGGTGTGCACAATGTTTGCCTGCGCCACCTCGTCAATCAGTGAATTGGAATCAGTTCAGGTAATGTAGGTGGTGCAAGGCATCGTCGAGTCCTTTTTTAGTATGGGTAGCGTGGGCGCGGAAATGACAGAAGTCGAAAGGGCGTTCCATGGTTGACAAACTTGAAGGTAAAGTAATTCCTGTGGTATTTCAGCTAACTGTATAAAGTGACAATTTCGAATTATGCGCCCCGCAATCCCATGTTGCAGCTAAACTTCAGGAGGCCTCGGCAATCGTGACCGGGGTTTTACAAGCTCTGGAACGCCAGTATGAGGTCACACCGTAGACGACGATATCTTCCACTGTACAATCCCAGGGCATTCATTCACCTATGGTATTGCAGATGGTACAACCCCTTCGCATATTTTACTGCTCATCGCTGTGTGGTCTCCAGCGCAGCCGGGTCACGTTTTAACCAGGGTTGCCAAGCCTGGATCACACGTTACACGGGACCTCACGTATGCATTGAGCATTTGGAGAAAGATGGAGGGATCGAAGGCACTCTGTAACAATAGATCAACATGTTGGTTCACGGTTCTGGACGCATTCAAGTACTGTGCCGAACAGCCGAGATCGTCTTGCCTCACCACTGCAAGGCCTCGCTCATATGAGGCTGTTTTCAGCATGTCGTCCCCAGGCTTATATGCGTACGTGGGCTTGTGGTGAACATGCACGGTTCTGCACTTTTCCGTGTTTAACGGAAGTAGATTCGCCTTTCATACTTCAAAGGTGTGGTCAAAGTCTCACTGCAGCATATCGTGATCTTCCTGACAGCCAATTGCCCGCCATATATTGACATCATCTGCAAAATGTAGGATATTTGACTTGATGACACTCGCAAGGTCGCTAATGAAGAACAAGAATAACCGAGACCCGAAATTGACCCAAGTGGAACACCGCAGTCCACACCAATCGGATCAGAAAGTGAACCTCGAACACGAACCTGAAGGCGTCGCTGAAAGCGGAAGTTCCTGATCCATCCAAGGACAGGGTTTCCAACTCCGTATGCTTGCAGCTTTTGTAGACGTATGCGGTGAAGTATGCGGTCAGAAGCTTTGGAAAAGTCTGCATAGATGACATCAATGGCGGTGCCACTATCGGCTACCCCGGTTTAAATGCTACGGGTAATCAGTAGTTTGATAATAGATGGCTGATGCTGATGGGATCCGTGTTGCTCAAGTGCTGTGATGTTAGACATTTCAAATTATCCCATTACAGCCTCAGCTATGATCGATTCCGTCACCTTTGAGAGCGCCGTATGATGGATTGCGTATTGTACAGCTGTTCTGTGGCACTATGCGAATTTATTTGGGCGAGGACTAACACGCCGGTGTCGCAAGCGAACTTTCCTTGCTTCCAGGTGTAGAGTACAGATTTCGGCACTGGTGGTGTCTAACAATTACCAGCTTCAGATAAGTTCAAACTGTCTGACTGCCGAAATTCACTGTGATCTTGGTCGCAGCCAAATTAGAGACAATGTGGTAATCCATCCACTTATCTTGTGCTCTAAAACAGACTAACAACCTCTCAGCCTCGTTGTATGCATATCAATATGAGCGATTATCACGAGGAATAAATGATCTAAATAAAGTGCCCACTTCTGTTGTACAACAAACCATCCAATCATTTGTGCTTCATGTCAGGCTTGCCTTCAAAATTCAGACGAATTAAACACATTGTCACTACATGCCAGTAGACTAGGAAGGGATCATCTCGCCGTGACTTTCTAACTCCGGTTTGCAATGAAGTGAGCAATACGGTCAGAAAAGACCTCCATTCATTTTCTTCATCCAGGTCCAGACAACACAGAAAACCAGCTGTTTAAAGTGTGCGGCAACATACACTTGGTGATATGGCTAGGAGCTGACCTCAGTGGCTTTCCTGTTGTGAGTTTCTTTGTCCAACCCCATCCCTCCTAGGCTCCCCTCTCAAACCACGATCTTATTTTTAACATTTTATAATTTTGCATAGCAAATTTTTTTTGCTGCATGGTAGCAGGCAGATAGCTTACCGGAACGATGCCCATCTGTTACCGGTAGTTCAGCTGGCTTGCCCCTTTTGCATTTTATTCCCTTTTTCTTTTAGGTATTGCGGCACAGTAGCTGAGGTGTTTGCCACCTCTAGCTAACGTGTATAGTGTATGTGTGTGTGTGTGTGAGTGTGCCGAAATCAGCACTGTCTGTACTTAGCAAAGTGGCTAACCTAATAGTGTGACGAGAACGAGCGTAGGGGCGCACGGTTTTATTGCCAAAGCACAACAGGTTCACAGGTTAGCACGCACGCGTGCACGTATAGAGGACATTTCCCGACCACCATGCACCACACATTGTCTTTTATCTCGGTGACTTCAGCGGACCAGCGAAGTCGCTGCTCTCTGCTTCGCCATCGTATCTTCGCTTCCGCATCTCCTATTTTGACGGGGCTGGATTCGTTCTAATGTCCTTGACTTATTTAATCGGGGCTGCATTGCTCTCCACATGGTTATTCTTGGAGGCGCGGCCAAACGTGTATCTCTCCAGGAATTCGGTTTGTCCACCGCTACATCTCCCGCTCTTCGCTGCCTAGGTGTGACATCTTTTGCCGTTCGTTGTCCATTTCCGGCTTGCCCCTTAATCCTCGAGTTGCTTTGTCGACTTTCTTCTCCGATGTCCTCGTTACTTTTTACCTTCCTTCCTTTTCGAGACTTGTCCTTTCCTCCAGTGATTCTTGCCTTCCGTGCCACTGCAATAGTAAAGCAAGGCTGACGCGAACATACATACGAAGTGTCGTCGTGATGCTTATTCCTGACCCGGATGCGCGTGCACTTCGGAAGATGCATACTTGTTTTCTTTATATTTTTACAATAGCCAATAATACGACATAGTACCTCTGTGTACTACGACAGTGAAACGAGCAATTCCTTACCCCACTAGGACAACGGGGTCACGGTATTAAATGCGC